CACTGAGCCAAACCGGTTAGGGCAAAGCTGTTGTTTTTAAACATGAAAGATAAAATTTTGGAAGCAAAGATAGAATATACCTGTGAATACTATTTTGAGTTCAGAGGATCTCTTGTCATTTTAGCAGAATGACTTTGAGTAGGATCACTCCTTGGTGTCATTTTCACTCATTTATGGATTACTTTGTCTCAATCTCAAATTACATTGTCTCTGAATAGAATAGTATGCTGTGTTTTTTGTAGTCCCTTCATAATCAAGAAATTTAAAAATTTACTTAAAATAACGAAGGCCTTTATATATTACTGGGAAGTGGGAAGTAGCCATCTCCTAATAATCTCAAGGCCCCTTTTCCTACTTTCCTTCTCTTTACTTTATCTCCCTTTCCCTCTCAATGTTTTCTATTTAAAATATTCTCCTAAATAAAACATTAGTGAAAAAGAGTGGCATTGTCTTACGCTTTTTGCACATCTTTTTAATATCTCGCTTAGAAAACAAATCAATTCTCTTATCTGCTTTTGGAATATATTGTTTTGGTTGATATACATGAACAAAGTCTAGCTTCAGATACATATGTGGTTGGAAAAAGGAAGATTATTTTTAATAGCCCTTTTAAATAATTTTGGATATTCTTTGATATTATACCAGCACTTGACAAGTGGTGGTTTCTTAGAATTGGCAACTGTGTCAATGTGGTTTTTTTGTCTTGTTACATTAGAATCAATTGGTCTGTCTTGGACTTAATCAGATCTCTTGCCCTGCATAATTTTGAAATGTGCATGCATTGTTCATTTGAAAAAACAGTGGTTTTTCCTGAGTTTTGCAGATCTTCTAAATGTTGATGCTTTTCACTATTCAGTATCAAAAAATCTCATTCCTTAATATGGCCACTATCTTATCAGAGAGAGCACATGGTGGAGGGTTCAGATTTTATCATTGGCAACAAATATCACAGTTATAAACGATGGGTTCACTTACTCATTTCTGAGGACATTTTTGTCAGATGCCCAGGTCTGAATATTCACAGTTTGTCAGTTTTTCTTTCAAGTTAAAAATAATATTCTGTGAGAGAAACTGCTAGGTCAGATCTCAGTTGCATAGAATCTTTTCCTTGAGACAACCATTGCACTTAGGTGTGCCCAGAAATACATTATACCTACCCAAGGACTAATATATAATAAAGTTAATTTTAAACAGTGATTGTTAGTACAGTTGGTGCCACTGCCTTGATTCATGCCAAGGCATCAGCAGTTTTAATCACCATTGGTTTTGTGCCATGAGTACAAATGTCAACAAAGTGAAAAAAGCCAATAGTGTATTCTGAAAATAGGTTTGACCTCTTGGACCCCCTGAAAGAGTCTCGGGTTCCCCAGGATTACGCAGACCACACTTTGAGAACCTTTGATCTAATGTGTGCCTAGAGTTAGAATAGTTAAAATATTTTCTTCTAAATTAAAAACAAAGCCATTATTAGAGCTCAGAGAAGTTAAATAGCCTGCCATAGTGTCACTCAGCAAATGGCAGAGCTGGATTTGAAGCTCCAGAGCTGGGGTTTGACCCCCCTCTTTCTGCAGCACCCTTTGCTACCTACCAATTAATAATTAAGAAGTCTTCTCAAGGTAGTGAGAATATGATCGTTTTGGATAGGAAGAATCACTTGGGAATGCTATATATAGTATATATTTAAAAAAATTTTTTTCTTGTGTCTTGCCTTTTTCCCCTCCAGGACCTTGCTGAACTTATTCTAGGTAATATTTTCTTTTTTTAACTTTTTATTATTATTATTATTATTATTATTGATTTCAGGGAGGAAGGGAGAGGGAGAGAGAGACAGAAACATCAATGATGAGAGTGAA